GATTGACCCATCTATATTTCCTGCCTGACTAGCGATCAATCAGTGTTTATTTAAAACATGATTGACAGAATACAGACAATTCTCCTGCACCACTTCCCCCTCTTCTTTTTTTTTAAACAAAGGAAAATATCCATAGTTCATTTTTGGAGAATGTGGGTGGAGTTTTCCAAGCTACTTCCAGCTGGTTAGGGGCACTGATAATCTTATGGGGACATAAAGAAAATTTAGAGTTATGATCAAGTCCTGACTGGAGTATCCTGTGAGGCTTGATCATCTCATGCAGCACTCTTGAATCTGTCCTGGATGTAGAACTTGGACATCCGGGCCATCTGTTTCTATGGAGATTTCTCAGGTGGTCTTCCTTGATCAAACCTGATTTTTCTTAACTCAGAATGAATCCACAGTCTCTCATTTCCTATGGAAACATAAAAAACCTCTTCTCCAAAGTAACAAACCTTTTTACTTCAATTTTGAGGCCAAGGTATTTTCAAAATACCTATTTTGGATTAATTCAGCAGCATTTATAAGCAAATATCTTTTAGCAGCTGTTGCTCCTTCCTCAGCATTCAAATAATTCAAAGAGAGCATAACAACATACAGTATCTAGATTCTTTGTATGTTTTCCATCTTTATGTGGCTTTATTTTAACCTCTATTTCTTTTATTTTTACTTTTTGAATTTTTGAGACAGGTTCTCTGTGTATCTTTGTCCTGGAACTCACTCTGTAGAACAGGTTGTCCTTGAGCTCACAGAGATCTGTCTGTCTCTGCCTCCTAGGCATTGGGATTAAAGGTGTGTACCACCACACCCAACTACTCTCTTTTTTTTTATTTTAAGGACTGTAACCTTTAGCCTGCATATATTTTTAACACACTGTAAACCATTTAGAGGTTTTCTTTGTCTTTGGATCTCTCTTTACTGTATATCTCTCTTTTTTTGACCACATGAGTCTTTAATTTGCAAAGCAATATGGAGAGGATTAAAGCCGTGCCTTTGACAGCTAGATCCAGCCCATTCCTTAGCTTTTCAGCTTCATGTCAGAGGTACTGGCCAGAGCCATATTTATTGCCACAACTCTATGGCATTTCAAGGTTCCTGCCAGCAAGCAAGCTGCAGCAGTATCCTCACAAACCACACTCAAATGCTCTGTGGTCAGATCACCTGCCTGAAAGAGTCAGAGTTAGCCCTGGCAGGACAGCCCAGAAAGCTGGCATTTTAAAATGGTGCATTTTTTTCCTACTATGGCTGAATACTGAAAAGCATGTGGTCAACTTTTCATCGACACCATTTAAGTGTTTCATGGCAGGATCTCTTAAAGGAGCTGCAAGGTTTTGCAGCTAATGCTGAGCCTCTAGCAAGCAGAGCAGCCCCAAGAAATTGTTGCTACCAAGAAGCCATGCTTTACTCTATTCTTTTCTGTCTAGAATTACTTCTCAAGCTCTGTCAGGCTATATGTGAATACAGTTGTCCATGTGGGTGCCATTCTGTAACATGAGGGCCTGCTCTGTTGTCTGAGTTTACCCCTCATGTTGCACTGCAATTGCAGGAGGATGTGCTCAATAAGAAATAATTCCATGCAAATAAAATACACAACGAGGTGGCATTTTTATTATGGTTTTCTATGATATGAAAAGTGGGTCCCAGCTTCAGGTCCAATGGCCTTGTGCTCTGGGAAATCAATAACACAGGCTGTGCAGGCCGACTGGAGATATGCGGAGAAAAAATATGACAAATCATATCAACTTCAATGAATTAGTTATTGTATTTGTATTGTTATATTTCATTCATCCATTTAATATAGTCAGTTAGCCCTCAGTACTGGGGAGCAGTTTAGGCCTCTCCAAAGACACCAAGATTCCACATGTTCATGTCCTTCACACAAAATATCATGATTCTTGAATAAACTACAACAAACATCCTCTTATTACCTCTGTATTTATTATATCCAATAGAATGACATCCAAATAAAACAAATTTTTAGAGAGTAATGATGAAGAAAGCTGTATATGTGTTAATTAAATTTTGTTATTTTTTGAACCAATAATAGACATATAATCAAGGTTGACCTTGGGCTTGTGATTTCCTTCCGTTTGTATGCTGAGGTTATAAGTATGCACCACTACACCTAGCTAGCAGTAATTAAAACAGCATTTTTTGTATATAGTGTGTGTACAGGATGTGTGAATGGTGCATGCAGAAGTTTGTGTGCAGATGCATGCACCCATGAACACGTGCAAAGGTCAGGGGAGCCCCGAGCACCGAGCACTTCTTTTCTATCACTACCCTGCCAGAGGCAGAGTCTTTCATGGAGCTTGCCTTTCAGCTTGGCGGGCCAGCAAGCTGCACAGTCCATCTGTCTTCACCCCAAAACTGAGGTTGTATGTTACTTTCTACAAAAATGCTGGGGATTTGATCTCAAGTCTGTTTACTTTCACAGTTAAGTATTCTTACCTCTTCAGCCCTCAGGTGTAACTTTAAAAATATATTTTTAATTTTATTTAATTATTTGTGTGGGGTGGGAGGGAAAGAAGGAGGGAGGCAGAGAGAAAGGAGGCTATGAGTGCACACATGCTGTGGAGCACATGTGGAGGGCAGAGCAGAGCACAACATTGGGAAGTCAGCTTCTCTTCTTCCACCTTCACATGAGCACAGGATTAAACTCAGGTTGCCAGGTTTGTGTACTAGGGTTTTACCCGACTGAGCCATCCCCCGGACCTCAGATATAGTTTTGTTTGCTTGTTTGTTTGCTTAAGACAGGGTTTTTCTGTGCAGCCCTGGTTGTGCAGGAACTAGCTCTTGTAGACCAGGTTGGCTTTGAACTCACAGAGATTCGCTTGCCTCTGCTTCCTGAGTGCTGGGATTAAAGGCATGTGCTGCTGCCATCACCTGGCACGGATGTAAACTTTAAAGAATAGCTTTCACTAATGGTTGATTGAACCTTTCACAGAAACTTTTGACTGTGTTCATGAAGTTGCTAGGACACTAAGGGCTCTTCATTAGCAAGTTGGCCTTCTCTGTGTGCAAGTTATCAATGCCTCCAGGCTCAACGCTAGCAGCTGTTTGGGAAATGTGGGTCATAACTCAGTCACCCCAACTGCCTTCTGCTCACCCTTCCCTACTGTAGCAGCTAAGAAGCCAAATGTCTTGTTTCCCAGAATTCACTGCAGACGAAGTTCTGGGTGCCAACTCCACACATTTGACCCTGGTTTAGACAGCGGAGTGAAGTGAAAGACATCTTCCCACCAGTTCCTGTCTTATTGTTGGCAAGTGTCCTCAGTGCAGTGTTGGTTCTCAGGGCAGTTTCTCTGAGATCAGGGATTATCGTTATGGAGCTGAGAGGCAAATGTGGTGTGACAGCAAGCAATAGCTTTCATGCTGCTGGCGGGGTGGGGTGTGGGAGCTCCAGTTAATCCTTCTGAGTGTGGCAAAGCTGGTGACTTCCACGATGGGCTGATTGACTGCGGTGATTGACTGCCGTGATTCGGCCGTCCCAGTCTATGGCTTTTGTGATTTTACACTGAATTCTTTTATTGGTGCTGGAGACTGAACCCAGTGTGTGCTAAACGCATGTGCTTCCTTCATTCGATTATTGTGGCTCTACCCATTCTCTTTAATTTAAGCAGATTATATTCTGTACAGCTCGAGACAGGACTTAGGTAGGCATCAGTCTTTGCCATCCCCGCTGGAGACCAGGAGGAGAGCATTCAGTCTCATTTGTTAGCACTGCAGATGTGAGCTCCTGAGGCCTCTAGCACTGCAGAAGTGAGCTCCTGAGGCCTCTAGCACTGCAGATGTGAGCTCCCGAGGCCTCTAGCACTGCAGATGTGAGCTCCCGAGGCCTCTGCTAGGGGAACAGTATTCTAGTCTCTCATACAATGGAGAAGATCACCAACACTATGTTCTAAGGGATGAAAAGTTAGTTCCCAGAAACAATCTATATTTTATTCACCTTTGTAGTCATATATTTAGCACAGAGCATATACTAGCCCCCAAAGAGAATAAAGTGCAAGATAATCAGAGTAGAGTCATGGGAGACTTCATATGGCTTTGGGGGCAGGCGAAGAAAGACGCAGAAAGTCGTTAGAACTATCTAGGCACAAAGTAAGAGCATGTGAACAGTGTGAAGTGGCATTCAGTAGTCATCAATGCCCACACCACCCAGAGTTCAAGCAGAGAAGCAGGACCAGGAGCAGATATATGTTGAGGCTGATTTTGAGAAATCGGTTTGTGTTTCTGGAGCTGCCTTACAAATCTGAACTTCACAGGGCAGGTGATCAAGAGAGGTAGGGGACAACCTATGTGCACAGGGGGAAGCTGTTGCCACAGGTGATTGCTTCATCCATACCTGTCTCAATCACTCAGGAGAAGAGAGTCTCCAGAGATGGTTCTGTCAGTACAGTGCTTGTTATGCAAGCAAGAGGACCTTGCTTCAAATCCCCAGCTGCCCTGTACCACAGGGTTAAGGTCTGTAACCTCAATGCTGTGTGTGACAGACTGTTATACCCAAGACCCTGCCTCAAAAATCAAAGAAAGACACCTAATACTATCTTTAGTTCCACATGCATGTGCACATACATGCACACACATCCTAATATACATGCATAATAAATGAAAAATAAAAATTAAAAAATAGAGTGGAGAGAAATTGAAGAAGACACAGCATCTGACTTTTGGGCTCCATGTGCAAGCACACACAACATACAAACATGCATACATATATATACACAGCACATGTGTATGCACAATTTTCTGGAGATAATTTCACTGATATTGGCAAACAGTTTTTAAACTAGTAATGATCTACTTTGCATAAACCAACTGTTTCTAAGCAGAGGTATAGTTCTTTTTTTTTTTTTTTAAAGGTTCTACATTTTATTACTGGAGAAACCACTCCCAACTTAAACATGATTAAGTCTCCAGATTGAAAATGTTGAACTTCATCTTGTAACACTCATCAAGAATCACGATTCATCATTAATTGTTTTGCCATTCATTGTTGACTCCTTACAGACCCAGCTTCGTTCTCCTCCAGTGTCTTCTCTTGGAGCTGTACCTGATTTTGTTGCCAGTTTTCATCCGAATCCACTGAGGAATAGGACGATTTTGCTTTTGTTTCTTAGCCAGGAATCGCTTGATTCTGAAAGTCTTGTGAGAAGACATGGCGAGAAGGCTGGGCGGGCAGGTGGCGCACGACGGCGAAGGAAAGGCGAAGAGCAGAGGTATAGTTCTTAATTGCGTTGGAGATTGAACTCAGGGCTCATATATGAAAAGACAAGCTCTCTCACTCAGTTATAACCCCGGCTCCAGAGCCATTTTCAGATAAACACTGAGACCAATAAACAGTGAGCAGTTGATTAAGCCTGATTCGGTTCATGTAAGTGACACAATGACCTTTGAGGATGATCAGAATGGTGGTGGTGTGTAACTGTCAGCAGCTTTACGTGGGTGGAAGATCGCTTCAGCTCCCATCCCAACAGCTTTGGGATCGCAGTTGAATGTGGACAAGCTGCTTAGACTTTTTATGCCTCCGTCACCCTACCTGTAAGATAAAAGTGAAACTGAAGCTGGCTTCAGGGTAGCAGTTTGCAGATTCTATGAAAATGATGCTGGTTGTATATAGTGGTGCAGTGTCTAGAACATAAGGATTTTCCAATAAATATGTGATATCACTATCACCTAGCTCTGTAATGTTGCAATGTTTGAAGAAAAATGAAAAATAAGATTTTATTTTCAGGAAACATAACAAAACGCTATCCATGCACTTCAGTTGTGAATATTTCTATCGGGTTGAACTTTATTTCTTTTTAACAACAGGTTCACTCAAATTATATCATTCTGATGGCAGGACCATGGGTACTTGGGAAAGCTCTTATATGGCAGATGAACCTCTCCCAGATCAACATTAAGCATCTCCACATCTTCAAACCTTTTTTCATGACTATGGCTTTATCCATTGAGTCTAATTATTGAATACAGCCATGCCATTTGTAAGCATGATCATAAAGCAATAAAAAATAATGGTGTTGGAGTAATTATATTTTTGAGATTTCTGTGGAGAGAAAAATTAGCAGAGCCAGCACCTTGCTCAACATCAAGAAATGATGAGGAATAGAACAGCTTCCCTATGATGGAACAGAACAGCTTCCCTATGATGGAACAGAACAGCTTCCCTATGACGGGGACAGAACAGCTTCCTTATGATGGGGACAGAACAGCTTCCCTATGACGGGGACAGGACAGCTTCCTTATGACGGGGACAGGACAGCTTCCCCTGTGATGGGGACAGAACAGCTTCCTCTGTGATGGGGACAGAACAGCTTCCCTATGACGGGGACAGGACAGCTTCCCTATGACGGGGACAGAACAGCTCCCCTATGATGGGGACAGAACAGCTTCCCTATGACGGGGACAGGACAGCTTCCCTATGACGGGGACAGAACAGCTTCCCTATGACGGGGACAGGACAGCTTCCTCTGTGATGGGGACAGGACAGCTTCCCCTGTGATGGGGACAGAACAGCTTCCCTATGACGGGGACAGGACAGCTTCCCTATGACGGGGACAGAACAGCTTCCCTATGACGGGGACAGGACAGCTTCCTCTGTGATGGGGACAGGACAGCTTCCCCTGTGATGGGGACAGAACAGCTTCCCTATGACGGGGACAGGACAGCTTCCCTATGACGGGGACAGAACAGCTTCCCTATGACGGGGACAGGACAGCTTCCTCTGTGATGGGGACAGGACAGCTTCCCCTGTGATGGGGACAGAACAGCTTCCCTATGACGGGGACAGGACAGCTTCCTCTGTGATGGGGACAGAACAGCTTCCTCTGTGATGGGGACAGAACAGCTTCCTTATGATGGGGACAGAACAGCTTCCTCTGTGATGGGGATAGAACAGCTTCTCTATGCTCTGCTGTTTATGAGACTCTCTCCAAATAATTCATTTCTTCTAAAGTGACATGAAAAATCAATTAATTTTAATGGTGGATAACAGATTACAGTATTTAATAGTTCATCTGATTTCATGAGGCACAGTGAACAAGACAATGGGATATAAATCTAATAAGAGATGTGGGGTCCATTCTACTGTTTCTCAAAAGCAAAATGAATGTGAATATCAGGAGTCAGCTACAAACCCAAGCATTATACGTTATGTTTTGTTCACATACAAAGAAACATAGCCTTGAGAAACATAAGAAGTATGAACTCAATCTTTTAAAAATATTTTATTATAGCATTTGCTATATTTTTGAATTGTGTGTGTGAACAGGCACAGAGGTCAGAGGTCAGCTTGCAGCGGTCAGACCCCTCCCCCCCTTCCACCATGCAGCTACCAGGGATCAAGTCGGACTCAAAAACACCTCACTGGCCCTTCCATTTCTTTGAAAACTTCTTCGTTATAGTCCTCTAAAGCAGAGCCTGTCTACTCAAGACAACAGTGTGGCAGGATACTTCTAAACATAAATAAAACAATGTGGAAGTACTGATAAGATTTTTAGGAAGAGATGAGCTGTTTCTCAGTCCCTTTCCATCGGCTTGTTATTGAACATGACCTAGTTTTCCTAATACACACTTTGATTCTTAAATAACTCCACTTTAGCTTTGAAAAGTCACTGGTGTCTCCCAGTCATCAGCACAGTTGCGACATTTGGCCAGTACCCTGCCTCAATTTACAGTCCAATTTCTATCCCCATGAGGACAAAGTGAGCCCAGCAGCTTCACTAGAAACTTTCTTTTAAAGATTTTGTTAAGTGGCGGCTTTGAAATAGTCTCCGAGCTGAGCTGTGAAGGACTAACAGGGTCACAGGGGCCTGATGTCTATCGAGTCTGCTAGTTAATAAAGAGTTAAACAGAGCAGGGCGGGCTTTTATCTTTATTTATGATTTTAAAGACATTTTGAAGGTGCTGAAGAGGAGAGGCCTGGTCCTAAGTGGTCATGTGGCTACCGCCATTCATCTTGCTAGCGACTATCTGTCAAAAGTGGCAAGAGTCCCTGTTAACGGCCTGACCTGAGCGGTAATGAGGGAGAGTGCACGGCAAAGTGTCCATTATCAGCGGTCGGGAGCAGTAAATTGGAGCAGTTTGCTTCAATCTTGCTGTAAGTTGAAACGTAAGATAGTGGGGATCAGCGAGAGGCAATTTCATCCCATGATCATTTTTGTCAGATCCCATCAGACTGGCGACTTAGTTCGATGCATGATTTCAATTAACCAAATCTGGCTAGAATGTCTGTACTGCGGTAGGAGGGAGGCTCTTTTCTGAGCCTGGGCTCCTGGGTATTTATTATTTAAACCCACCTGAGTGTTCGCAAGTCTAAGATGCATGGATGGTAGGAAGAGGATTGACTCCTCTGGATAGTCACCGTGCCGTGTGATCCAACATCAGATCCTACAAGGACCACAGTGCCCAGAGTGGCTGGAGGCGCTTCCTGGCTTGTCTCCACGTTTCTAAAGGCATATGTCTGTTTCTAATGACCTGCAATGGCGGAGCTTTATGATGAGCATGCATGTTGTTCATCTTTACGAAATTTCCCTTTGATCTGCACTGTGCTAAGTCTTAGCTACTCCTAAGCAGGAGACAAATCAGGGTGAAGCTGAAGCTGATGTCTGGGAAGCATTACTGGCTGACGGAAGTGAACTCTTGGTTCACTGGTTTATTCAAATGTCTTCACAAGTTCATAAGAAATGCCACCTCTGCTTTCGAGGAATTTATGATCCAGAAGGAGAAATACACGCACACTAACAGCTGGGATGGAAACAGTGCCATCATAAAAGGAAATCCCACAGAAATGTAAAGAGGTCATTTTTGTCCTGGGATGTCAGAACAAGCGTGAAGAAGACAGACATTTAAACTGTGTCTTCATGATAAGTAGAATCTTCAGTAACTATTAGCCCTCTCTTATTTCTGCATATTAAATCACCAGCCATTATAATATCACCACCTTACTGTCATGGTCCCCTGTGTTAGGAACGCTCGCTGCTGTGTCCTTTGCCTAAGAGATTATTAGTCTGAAACCAGTGTTTTCTGGGTCTCCAATCCCATCTGGGTTTAGTCTCTAAGAAGTGCAGTTTTAGGCCCACAGTCCCCTCTTTTTACTGACTGCCACCTGGGAGCTGTTACTGGTAATTCTGAGCTCCTGAGGGACACTTGTTCCCAGACAAGTGGTTTCTCTTCAACAGGGCGCTCCACTCTCAAGACCCCCAGCAGGAGGAAGCTTTTGTCCTCAGCCAGCACTAGACTCTGTCTCAGTCAGGGAGCCTCAAAGAGAAACCCCTGTGATTCCTGTTCTAGCCCTCTGTATAGTTGAAAAATTTGCCCAACACTTTCATAACGTTTTAGAAAACAAGACAGATGTGTTGAGACAGGTAGACTCCCATTTCTTCTATGATTGTGGACACTTCATTCTCACTCCTGATTGGTTGTTTTTTGAGACAAGTTCTCAAAAACTTGGCTGGGTATGCACTTGGCAGCCAAGAAGGCCCTGATCTCCTGATCTTCCTTCATCCCCCTCCCCCCAAGGACTAGGATGACAGGCATGTGCCATCACAGCGCATGCTCCACACTCCACCCACCCACAACCACAGGTCCAGCCTGCAGCAGAATTCCTTTATCCAGAAGTGAGAGTCAGAGGTGTGTATTGTCCATCTAGGATTCTGTTAGCCTTCAGAAGAGAAAGTCGGAGGTGTGTGTTGTCCATGTAGGATTCTGTTAGCCTTCAGAAGTTGGCTACCATTCTGTCTTCAGGTTCTTCTGTGTTTCCTCTTGTAAAACTATATATTAAAAAAATCTTTTCCTTATTCCTAATATTCTGAAAATCACAAAAAAATTCACTTTTGATGTGGATACTCCCAGAGTGCTTTTAACCTCCAGGACCTCTCTGTCAGTTCTAAGAGATTTCCTTTTAGTATTCCTTTGGCAATTCCTGTTTTTCTCTATTTTTCTGAGCCAGAACGTACTAAACGTTGGATTTATTAGATTCTTCTAGTTTCCATGAAAATTTCATGTCCTTTATTTTTCTTTTGTTTTTATACTTTTTTTCTGGTTAGGCTGGTTTAGGGAATTATTTTTGTTTTTTTTTTTATAACATCTTCCAATAAAAGTTAATTTTTTGTTATGCTTTATAGTATCAAAAACTTCCATTTAGTATTATTCTTTAAAAAGATTTATTTATTTTATTCATATGTACAAGTGTTTGCCTGCATGTGTGC